AAATCATTAGGTCATAATTATAAAAAAAATATCGTAAAAACACTCGTACCATATGCTTGAAAAAGTCTTACCTTGTATTGAATCGAGATCAAGAACAATCACATGGAGTTGATTTAACTTACAATAGACATTTCTAAATCCGTAATATACTTGTACATGTTCAGACATTTTATTTGTAGTACGACAGGATGCAAAACTTTGGTCGGAAACAGGGTTAAAAGCAGGGCGGAAACTACTTCCGGCGAGAAGCATATTCCCTATTTCAGATGTACATTTTCTTGACAATGATCGCTTTATCTCATAAGACAAGTTTGTATATTTTTAACTTTACGATCTCTTTAATACCAAAGTCCATAAAACTCCAAAATATTTGGATAATTAAGCAAAAAAAAAAAAAAAAAAACAAACTAAATTTATGCTACTTTAATTGTATTTTCAATAGCCTACGATTGACCTGCATCAATGCGTTTGTCTCTCTCCCCGGTGGCCTTATATTTATATTGAAGAAAGTAATACGAGGCAAACTGGTATAAAGAAACAAAGTAAACAGTTGCGCTGAAGCGACATAAAATTATCAATAACTTCAAACATTTTTACACGCGTATTTCCATAAAATACATGTCGATTTATTTATAACTGTCTACCAAATATTGAAACAATCTTAACGTCAGAAGACCAACTTCTAATGATAGCATGCTGAGCTTGTTTGTCAAGACTAATATGTTTGTACAAGAACATTTTACAGGTCATGTTCTTTATATTGATTTCATAGCAGATTTCTATAGTTACATGTTTACATATAAATATATTAGTCTAATGCAGTTTAAAAGAAGTGTACGACTTACAAAAGTGAAGAGAACGTTGGACGAATTTCCTTTTTTTAACGGTATCCGTTTTGTATTATTTAACAACAGATGGTTCTACGCATAACTCCTGTGTAATCGTGACAGCAAGAATGGTTGGAATATTGCAAAACATCATCCTCGTTTTCATACTCTACGAAAGACACATACACAGGTAAGATTTGTAGGATTGTAGTTCGCCTCGGGGCGACTGATGAAAATTCTTAGTGATCGATAGAAAAGTCAAAATCTAGACAGGGAGGTGTAACAGCCCATAATAAGTAAGATACATTCTGTGTAGTATGCTCGATTTAAAAATAGATATGTATTCCTGTTTTAGCAAAATGCCTTTTATTCTGTTTCAGTGCCGAGTTTTGTGATCAGCGTGACATTGGGTACTACGCAGATCCGACATCTTGCTACAAGTATTACCACTGTGACGGTTTGGGGACGACTTTCCAATTTGACTGTAGTTTCGGGACTATTTGGAGTGACGAACTGCAAACATGTGACATTGATCCCTACTATGGAAACTGCGTACCGCTCTCAGCTAGTAAGTTTGCTTTGTATAGAGCAATGTATGATCGACTCTGAAATCACATGTTGTCTGTTCCATAGGAAACGATCACAGGAGATATGTATTGTGCTTAGATATATTTGCACCTTATTTATGTCTATTGCAGTATGGTGGTCGAATTGTGATGTTATTGTTTTCAGTGTCATATGAGATTTCATACCATTATTTATAATTTTCAGTTCTTATTAAGATGTGTCTGTAGTTGTATCTATAATAATAATAATAATTCCGGACGCAGGCTTTTAAAGCCTATATATATCCAGATCTGTGTTATCAAGTTTCCTGAAGATGAATAAGTTTGTTATTGTCTATTTCATGATTGTAAATGCAATCGGAATTACTCCAATGTTTATCCAATCGGGTTCAAATGTTTTGACTGTTGGTGACGTGACAACGGCATCAGGAAGGGAGTTCCAGAAGTTAACCACCCGCTCACTGAAGGAGTACTTTCCCAAATTCAGTCTGCTTCTCCTTTTTAATAAAGAAAGACTGTGTCCGCGTGTTATTTTGTTAATGTTCGGGACCAGTAAACCCTCAGAGACAGCACTATCATATCCTCCATGTGTTAGCTTGTATACTTGGATCATGTCTCCTCTCAATCTTCTGTGCCTCAATTATGGTAATTTAAGGATCCTTAGCTTGTTTTCATAGCTTAGGTCTTTCATTCCCGGTATTTGTTTCGTTGCTCTCCTTTGTACATTTTCTAGCTCATTTATATCTTTTTGCATATAGGGATTCCATACACAGGCCCCATATTCAAGGTGCGGACGTACAAGCGCTTATATAATAAACAAAATATATATTCATATTTTTTTTAACAGTGAAAATCTTTTCTTATATTTGAGTTAAATTATGGAAAACTGGGAAAGAGATATTGTTCAGTTGGTCTGTAGATAAATTTCAATCAACTTTTTTTATTGCCAGTTTCAATCACGTGATTAAAATTATTTCACAGGTCATACCTGTGGATGTTATAGATATCGTGTGAACAGCTCGATGCGTTATGTCGGACCGGAAGTAGTGGATACTATATTCAAAGACTCCATAATTGGATGTGCGAAGGCTTGTAAACAGAATCCGAACCTTTGTCAGGGATTCAACTTCTTCCCTGTGCCGAAGATATGTGAATTGTACAGTGGCATACAACCAGCAATTTTCATTCCGGACGTCTCATGCCACTTCGGTCAACTTTACATGGATGGAAATAATGTATGATTAAAATATATATTTATCCTGCAACTGGCACTGCCATTGTCGGAATACGCCTGCCACATATATTATTGCTGTATTCGGCAGTGACAGAAAACAGCTGTATTTCAGCACGTGCGGTAATTCGACAGAATTACTCTCTGAATTTAATTAAATATTACGTTTAGAAATAGAAATAGTTGTTGAATTTAGCGATTTTACATGTTGTGATGAAAATGTTGATTTATGAAATTTCATAAAATCGCTGTTATATCTGATGAAATTTGGAACTATATCTCCGTGCGGAGCTATTACTTTGACATCAGTCATCAGGCAAAATTCATTGTAACGTCAACATCCGGTAAACACAGATTGAAGAACAAAACTGTTTAAGATTCAGTAGTCTGATTCCAATCAATGTTGCAGGAAAAAAAGAATACATGGCCAGTGTCTTAAAATATAAGGCGTATGTTGGCTCGGGACAGAAAGACAACAATTTATTCTCTATAAATATATATCCAGGACTAAGTTATACTAATGTTGGTATTCCTATTATTTACAACTAGTCATTAGAAGAAAACTTACAAACCTAAACATATACGTTAAGTGCAGCTTGCAGAAAATAGTGGTGAGGATATTTGTTCAGTACGTTGATAGATGCTGGGGATGTTTATTTGAGTCCGTATGTTGTTTGTTTTCGCCTTTCATTTCCATTTGATACACGTGTGCAGATTGTGTTTTATCAGGAAACTGTAATGACTTCTTTGACAGAAGGTACAACTGAGTGCACGAGTAAACACTGTTGTCAATTTATTACTCTATTCCATACTATTACCTACTGTGTAAGACATCATTTATCATAGTACAGATTTTACAGAGCGACAAGACCAGCATATCTTTAACTGAGACTGAAGTTTAAGAAATAAAAGGAACACTTTGTACTTCTTTAATATACAGTACTTCTATCTTTATTCTTTTTTTGATGAATTTTTATTTCTTCAGTTTGTGTCTAAACTATGTTTAAATTGAAAAATTCCAGAATCAAGATACACTAGATTTCATCTCTGATCTAGTGTTGGATATTTTCTAATCGGAATAACTTTTCTTAAATTGAATTCCAGTAAATAACCTAAAATATGATTAAGTTATACCGATATCTCCAGCAACTGCACACAGGTAAACTTTGAAAAGATTCTTGATTGGAAAAAAAAGAGACAAGCTCACTATGATTAATCTTACTTTTTATATTTCAATGGATATAAATGATTTCACTTTAAATACAGTCATATGATTATATTTGTAAGAACGATAACAATTTTGCCAGGTCTTCTCTATCTACTGACAAATACATGTGTAACTGATAAATTACATCACTGAGTACTCCTGTGCTAACTCGTCATCACAGGTACAACATGAACCGGTTATCAGTAATCATATCTTCGTCCTACATACATCCCATCCACACATACTACTCTAATAAATTTATTATTTGTATACACTGGTATAGATATTAACGTTCACCTATAGACGTTTGTGTGTGAACACTGATAGGCCCAACACGGGACGGTAGTACATTGATAGCTCTTTAAACAACGGTAACTTAGACCACTACAAAGTTTTATCACTATGGCAATATTCAGGACTATATATATACCAGGAAAATATCGTCGGAGGTAGGACAACTTTTCATTTCTACATTAACTAATTATTTTTATTAGTTTATTTTTGGTCATGTTTAACAAGGTTTATTTCGGATGGTCGTATATTTTCTCGCCGAAGTAGAAAATCAACGTCCTTCTTGCTTTATGAATATTGTTCATGTTTGTGATAATTCTTAATTCGAAGACACAATGTTTGGTTCAGAAAACACACTTCAAGTTACATCCAAAAAGAAAAATGAAGTTTATTCTCATTAAAACACCTAAATATTAAACAAGATTATGTACATTCCAAGACTCTTCAGTCAAATTTCATTGTATTTAAAAATGATTGCCGGTGTGTTTTCATTTTTCAGATAAATCCTTGTTCTTTCCTTTTTAAATGATAAAAATACATTGATCAATTATTATCTAAAGCATTAAAAACGACGTATGTACACTTGAATATTTGTTCTCGGAGTAATAAAAATTCGTGGTACTAAGATGAATCAGCGGCGTTACATTACCATCACATATTCTACTTTCTTTCACAGATTGGTATGGCTGTTGTTAAGTGGATTAATATCTGTTGTTTTGATCTTTCAAATTTGGAATACGTTTCACCTTTATCAAGCGCGAGGAGAGATTACAGATGGCTGCACTGACAAAGATGATCAACAACTGTCGTGTTCATTCGGGCAAGCTTGGAGTGCTTTCGGTAAAAACACAGATTCTACAAATGAAGTTAAACATGTAGCATTTCTTAAAGTTCACAAGACCGCCAGCTCAACCGTAATGAACTTATTCATGCGTTTCGGATATTCCAGAAACTTGACCTTTGTTTTACCTAAAAATAGCATCAATGTCATCAGTCAAACTGAACGTATAACTGACGACGATATTCATCCTTTTATTAATCAGAGCAAGTTTGACATTTTATGTCATCACATTGTGTACAATAAGAGTGTGATGCAACGTTACTTACACAAAGATGCGTTCTACGTCAGCATTATACGCGATCCATTTGATCAGTTTGTGTCAGCTTTTCATTATTTCCGGAAGATCTGGGGAATTCCCTATCTTCAGAACATCACCGGGGATTTCCCAATGTCGGAGCTTCTCCGTCATCCCCATCGATACGAACCAGAACTCTTGCACTCATTTACAAATAACAGAATGGCATATGATCTTGGATTTCCCACATCCCTCTTCGACAATCCGTCTCCCGAGAAAATATCAAAGTACATTTCTCGGTTAGATTCGACTTTTCACTTTTTTATGATTAAAGAATACTTCGATGAATCCGTCGTGTTGCTGAAACATTTTCTTAACTGGACCATGAAGGACATTTTATATGTAAGCCAGAACACAATGAGACATTACCGGTCAACTCACGATGTCTTGCCCGGAGACCGAGAGCTTCACCGTCAAAGGGCCCCACTGGATTATGCTTTATACGAGTACTTCCTGGTCCGGTTTTGGGAACTTGTCAAACAACAAGGTGTAGAATTTCACAGGGAAGTGATGTATTTCAAACACCTCCGAGGCTCAGTGGAAACGTTCTGTAGACATGTATTTTTAAAAGGAGTTGGTGTTTTCAAAGCGAGTGACAACAAATGGCATAGGCCTTTCAATGTGACTAAAGAAGACTGTTACTTGATACTGATGAACGAAAATGAGTTTTCATTACTTTTAAAACAAAAACAATATCCATACCTTACACCTACCAGTAGAAACAGATATGGACCAAAGCGTTCACGTAAAAAGAAGATACTACAGCCACACCGTCCAAATATATTTAAAGGCCCATTTTAGATAGAAATTTTACAAAAATCTTTCACTTATTACATATTCATTATAATTTATTCTATTCTATTTTCAAATACATGCCTACACATTTTCCAGTCTTTCTTAACGTATAGTAATTTGATTATCTCCCTTTGATAATTTAGCATTGGAAGAAGGGAAGTAACTGCGTCATGTTTAAGTGGATGAGCTTATAGATATACATACTTACAGGTGAATTGCTGTATTTGATATCAATCATTATCAAACACAAAACAACTCTATATTTTGATTTCGTCTTACCGTCTGTACTATAGACACTGATGACGGACTAACACAGGAGTAACGTCTTACCGTCTGTACTATAGATACTGATGTAGGACTAACACAGGAGTAACGTCTTACCGTCTGTACTATAGATACTGATGACGGACTAACACAGGAGTAACGTCTTACCGTCTGTACTATAGACACTGATGACGGACTAACACAGGAGTAACGTCTTACCGTCTGTACTATAGACAGTGATGACGGACTAACACGGGAGTAACGTCTTACCGTCTGTACTATAGACACTGATGACGGACTAACACAGGAGTAACGTCTTACCGTCTGTACTATAGATACTGATGACGGACTAACACAGGAGTAACGTCTTACCGTCTGTACTATAGATACTGATGACGGACTAACACAGGAGTAACGTCTTACCGTCTGTACTATAGACACTGATGACGGACTAACACAGGAGTAACGTCTTACCGTCTGTACTATAGACAGTGATGACGGACTAACACATGAGTAACGTCTTACCGTCTGTACTATAGACACTGATGACGGACTAACACATGAGTAACGTCTTACCGTCTGTACTATAGATACTGATGAAGAAATCAGCAGCATTTTAATAGTAAATTCGTTGTTGAAAACATAAGCACTTAACATTTTGGTCCAATTTGGTTTTTCAATGTTTCGGTTTCAGTCTACGCTTGTACTAATTTTCGGACTGAAGTACGGTCAGCTGCCTAGAAAATTGGTAAATTGGACGACCTGTAAGAAATGGCACATATACAATATGTATGTCTGGTCTGTTGGTATTTGGAAATTCTTTGAAATAGATTTTTTTCCATTATGCTATTGGTCATATTTAGGTCGATTCTGGTGTAAACCCTCCAGACTTATTTAAAGAGAACTAACTGTTGTATAAAGCTCATGTAATTTTGTTTAATTTCAACCTTTACACGCACACACACAGACACAGACACAGACACAGACACGCACACCCCCCCCCCCCCCCCCCCCCCCCCCACACACACACATATATAGTCGTGTAATCACTATATCTCATGCTATTTATTCGCCTCTATTCTTAACTCGAAGTTCAAGATATAGACAGTAACTTATGCAGTTTTTTTCAGCTAAATGCTTTTGTTCGGCGAAATCAATAGCATGAAACTCAATACTGTTATCCATACTTACTTATCTTCAGTTTTGTTGACGTCGAATACCTCAAGGATATGATTTGCTGTTTTCTATCGCATGATTGTACGATAGGATTTTTTACTCCGTGTCTTTTATACAGTGGATCGCCCAGACACCAGCACATGGAATCTAATCTAGATCTTCTCCTTTCTTTTAAATTTCATTTTTTTACTCTACTGAATTTACTCTTCCAGCTTTTTCTCTAGACATTGTGACCCTTGTAATTAACCAAACTCTCACTTACTTTCCTTAAAATGGACTTTCTAGCTGTAATCATTTCAAACAAGAGTCTACATGGGCCTGCATCGGTCAATTGTTATGTAAGCTTTCACAACTACAACATTTCACATCATTAACATTAAAACTCCTGGTGAATGAGAAGTTATTTGAAAATTATGACAAATTTCACCATGTGACCTTCAATATAAGGCCATTTCTTTTCACAAACTTTACTGAGCTGCAATGCAGGAACCTTTTAATATACCAGCCGAATATCATGATTTGCTTTTAACCCCACCCAGTGACATTGAATATGGATCAACTTTATCAGATTGTTTCCAAGGAGCCTATTCACGCAATTGTCTTTTGTACAGTGGTCTTCATATATTACGAATGAGCTACAAAAATGTTTTTTGTTTTTTTGTGGGATGGAAAGCCAGACAAAATAAAGAGAAATATTATATATAGTGACTATGGAAATGGGGGATTGTGTCTTCCACATGTTTTAAGTTTTTGTCATTCTCTCAAGATGTCTTGGATAAAAAAAATCATTGATCCCTTGAACTATTCAGCATGGAAAATACTACCCATAAATGAATTAGAGGATGTTGGAGGGGATAATATTTTTAAAATGACCAAAGAAGGATTAACAGAATTATCAAAGCATTTTAATACTTTCTGGAGAGAAGTGCTTACCGCTTGGGCTTCTATACAGGAAAATGTGTCTCCCACAACCCCTGAAGAGGTGGTATCACAGCTTTTTTTTAATAATTTTATTAAAAGAAACAGACAATAGATGTTTTTTTTTATAAACATTGGTGTAAAAAGGGCATATTTTTTGTTTCTGACTTACTAGAAAACAATATACTTATGTCTTATGATAATTTCTCTATTAAGTATAACATTGATGTGAATTATTTAGATTACAATGGCGTTATTAATGCCATACCAAGAAATTGGAAAGCAATTCTGCAGAATGTAAATGTTGTGAACCTACTGTTGAATATAAATTAATCAATTACCTCACTACACAGGATAAAGTAACAAAATATTTTTATCATATTCTTATTCTTTTATTTTCTGAAAAGCCAATAAGTAGTCAAAGAAAATGGCAAGAAATTCTCACTACTGATATCAGTGAAGAAACTTGGGAACTGATTAATCTCATGCCAAGGGAGGTAACTGATGATACAAAACTTATAAACTTTCAGTATAAAATAATACACAATATATTGTATACTAATACAAAGCTAATGAAATGTAAACTAAAAGAAACTGAAAGATGTCCTTTCTGTATAAATGAGAGGGAAAATATTATTCACCTGTTCTGGGAATGTAGTGTTGTCAAAACATTTTGGCTTTTGTTGATGGAAATGTTAGAAAACAAATACCAAATAACCTTACTTAGGCATCCAAAAATCTTTATTTTTGGTGTAACAGATGTAGATATGGAACACCGATATGAAATTAATTTTTTACTAATTCTCATGAGATACTTTATTTACTATTGTAAGTTGAAAAATACGGTACCTACAATTTCTGCAGGGAAAAAAATACATTAACTTTTATAATAAAATAGAAGATATGGGAATATATGCATATACATATAAAAAACAAGAAAAGATAAAAAACAAATGGATTTTTATCTATCAGTTATTAAGTTAAGATAATCTGCTGATTAAAATAAAAATTATACAACTATACTTTGTTACCAACTTGTGAAAATATAGTATATTATTAAGTACATGTGTACACAAATTTATATCATTATGTGTAAGATGTAAGTTCAATATACATATGTGTACCTCTAACATACCTCTATATACAAATTTATATCATTGTGTGTAAGTTGTATAGTACAGTATACTATTTAAAAGTATGCGTGTATACAAATTTATATCATTGGTGTGTAAGTTGTATAGTACAGTATATTATTACAAAGTATGTGTGTATACAGATTTATAGCATTATGTGTAATTTATATAGTACAGTATGCAATTAAGAATTATATGTGTATACACATTTATATCCTTGTGTGTAAGTTGTAAAGTACAGTACACTATTACAAAGTATGTGTGTATACAGATTTATAGCATTATGTGTAATTTATATAGTACAGTATGCAATTAAGAAGTATATGTGTATACACATTTATATCATTGTGTGTAAGTTGTAAAGTACAGTACAGTATGTGTGTATACAGATTTATCTCATTAAGTGTAAGTTGTACAGTACAGTATGCTATTAAAATGTATGTGTGTACACAAATTTGGATCATTGTGAGATTGTATAGTTGTATGTGATTATGGAGAAAAACTTGAATAAAAAAGAAGAGATTACAAGTGGTAGACACTGCTCGTGAACTTTAAGTCTCCGAAGTTTGTCGTAACCTGCATCACACGTTTTTATTCACAATATACGCATGTTCTTGACGCTATTCTAAAACTTCTAAGATATGAAAACTACGACATTTATTTAATCCTGGGACTTCTGCACCTCCTCGTCAGAATTTTGACCTTTCTGTCCATCACTTAGGACTTTTCTCCTCGTTAGCTTCAAAATGTAGGCTCTCAGCATCACAGAAGGACGAAACAGCTGTATTATGCAGTTTAATTCTTTGTTTGGCTCTACTGTATCTAATTCTGAATTTGTATGAAAAGGTGCTATTTACTTGTGTGTCCTTTGTGCAATCTATTAGCCAAATATCATGATTTCATACTCTTTGGTTTCTAGAGGAAGGTATATCAAATGAAGAAGATTAAATTTCAAATAAAGACCGATGTATCGATAAAATCTATGAAACGTAAGTTTTCAACTTCTCCACACAAACCCGGATACAAGATAGATAAATCCCTAAATACAGCACACACCCAGTACAGACTCAATACAGAACAATGTGATAAACATTCCGTACATATATAATGCAGCACACCTTAATTTTTTCTTTGATGAAATATGCATATCATAGGCGGCGGCTGCTTCTTAAAGCTGTTGACAACAATGGAACATGGAATGGAATGGATCAATGGCATTTTCGTGTCATATGATGTAAACATTTACTTAAAAAACTTCTTTAACAGAGACAAGTATACGACTGTTTACATTATAATCATTGTTATCAGATATCTTATGCCGGTAATGCGAGGCGGATATACATAGAGAGACAAAAAGTCAGGGTAATGTGAAAAAAAGAGAGAGAGAAAGAGAGAAAAGAAAAAATACACATATTATATTTCGATATTTAAAAAGGTAACACGATCCACATATATACTTCACAGAATACTAAAAAGATACTCCTAAAATCGCTTCAGTGCATATCAATGTTTAGT